GCTTTTGTCTGTACCCCAGTGAGGATAGTGTCTTAGTATAAAATCGCAATGCTGTGAAACAAAATCTTAATATTTAATCTCAGTACCGAGCAAAAGTCACATCAATATTTTTTAACCAATACTTTAATATTTACCTTATAGTATTATGTCTTCCAACGAAGTAAATAACTGACGAAAACACAAGAGAACATAAAGTCGTCTAGCCTCCCTCGTCTTGTCACGATGGAGACTTGTGCAGAACTGAAGTGAATTGCTTGTAACTGGTGGATTGGTCGGCTGTACATGAACTGATATGACCCGACTCTATTCAGAGATAGTGAAGAAAACAAATTAAGTGAGATAGTAGTGACTAGTAACGATGTTAGTAAGCAAATAGACAAACTAAAGCCTAATAATTCACCTGGTCCCGATGAGATATTTGCCAGAGTATTAAAGGAATGTAAGGAAGAGCTTAGTATGCCCTTAGCAAAGTTGTTTAACATGTCATTCAGGTGTAGTACCAGAATGCTGGAGGATAGCGAATGTAATACCGATTTTCAAGAAGGGGATAGATCACTATCCCCTACCGCCCAATCAGTCTAACATCAATAGTAGGCAAATTGAAGCAATCATTTCAAACTCTATTTGAAATCACCTGAGAAGCACCGATTGATCAATGATTCCCAGCATGGCTTCACAAGCGGACGTTCTTGCCTAACTAATCTATTAACATTCTTTTCACAGTTGAATCGGTGGACGAGGGGCACAATTATGATGTGGTATATCTCGACTTTAGCAAAGCCTGACAGAGTTCCCCACGAAAGACTAATTAGAAAGGTAGAAGCTCATGGCATCAAAGGTGACATCCTTAAATGGATTAGGCGTGGTTACAGGACAGAAACAGTGAGTGAGCATTAACGGCACTAAGTCCCATTGAGCAACGTCACAAGTGGAGTTCCCCGGCTCAGTACTTGGACCATTATTATTTATTATATACATAAACGACATAGATATCGGCATTGACAACAACATAAGTAAATTTGCTGATGACACTAAAATAGGACATGTTATCAAATCTGACGAGGACTCGCAAAACTACAGGAAGATCTAAACAAATTTTTCGAATGGTCTGGAAAATGGCAGATGAAATTCAACGTCGACAAATGTAAAGTACTCAGTATAGGAGATGTAAACAGGGAAACCAGATACCAGATGAACAACGATGCCATAGAGAACCGATCGAGAGAGAGATTTAGGAGTAATGATAAGTAGGAACCTTAAGCCAAGTAAACAATGTGTTTTTGCTCATAACAAGGCTAATAAAGTACTTGGGTTCATACAAAGGAGTGTTAGTTACAAGACTAGCGAGGTCATCCTAAAACTGTATCTTGTCTCGTGAGACCACACCTGATTACGCAGTTCAGTTCTGGTCACCGTATTACAGAATGGATATAGAATCCTTGGAAAGAATTCAGAGGAGAATGACAAGACTAATCCCTGGCATTAGGAACCTTGAGTATAGAGACAGGTTAGCATCTTAATTTGCACTCTTGAGAGACGTAGAGCGAGGGCGACCTGATAGAGGTGTATAAGTGGAAGGCAGGGCTAAACAAAGGACGTTACAAAGGTACTCAAACTATCCAACCAGGAGCGAACTCGTAACAATGGTTTTAAATTAGACAAATTTAGATTTAGGCGTGAAATAGGTAAACACTGGTTTGGAAACAGAGTAGTGGATGAATGGAACAAGTTACCAATATCATCATTAACTCGAATACCTGAATTGCTTCAAACATAGGTTGGATGCTCATATGAGCAATAGGGGTTGGGTGTAAACGGACTGCCCAGTATGGGCCAATAGGCCCGCTGCAGTTTCTCCATTCTTATGTTCTTATGTTGACCCGAGACTGCATGGTTTTGCAGCTACTGAGACGTTAATCCTTCCCTTTGTATCGGCGGCAAGTTAATCCTCGTCGTGTCTGACCTAACACCTGACCCACACCACATGAGCTCACTGGCGTACTTGTTTGAAGTTGTTTCATTAATCCTCAACAGGTTACAGGTTGTGTGTGTAGCGGGGCATAGCAAGGGTGTAGCTCATGCCCACAATAATCCAGTCTCATCCACATTGTATATTTGCTCAGGCAAATAATTCCCTTCCACAATCACATCATCTAACTCCTCCTTAAAAGTTTCGGCAGCACCAACATCGGCGCTAGCTGCCTCTCCACTCACCTTAACATTGTGTAGACTGTAGCATTTTTTAAATCAATCAAACCACCCATGACTTCCTGTAAAGGTTTGATCACATTCATCTCCTGCCTGCTCCTTCAGGCTTTGGAACAGGCTTCTTGCTTTAGCCTGTATGGTTAGAAGGCTTAAGGGTACACGCCTCTGTATCTGGTCTTCTATCCATATCACCAATAATTTTTCCATATCGTGAATAGGACCTTGTCTTCTCTTCGATATTATAGTTCCCTTTATAGGTGTTGTTCCTTTCATTACATCACGAATACGTTCCTTGTCCTTCAGAATAGTGGATATAGTCGAGTGTGAGAAACCTAGGTCGCGTGAGATTGTTGCTACTGTTTTTCCATTCTCATGCTGTTATTATCATCTTCATTTTCATCTCAAAAGTAATTGCCTGTCTCCTTTTCTTTGGAGCATCACCAGCACTCTCACTTTTACGCTTTCCAGTCATTATAAAGTCAATTAAATACGATAATAATGAAAGTTCACAGGGCGATCAGTATAAAATACGATAGCCAAACGGCAACTAAGTGCTCCACTGAGTGAGTGTACCCACGAGGCGACCCGAGACGCGCCACCCTCTCGCCCGGGACGGAAACGTTTCGGTATAGAAAATGCGCGCGTCATTTGAAAATATTTTTGGTGACGACAGTCGCAGTCGTATGTCCCGACTGACGTATGGTTAGAGCAGGTGGTAAGTACCAATGGACGTAAGTCCATGTTGTCATAAGTCGGGGACTACCTGTATATGGAACTGTAGCTTTATGAGGCTGGTGCAGTATAATTTAGCTCAACCATATAACATGTACTGTACAAGGCAAGATACTAACCTTAATTTCAAATTTTGGATAAAATTCTGTTAATTGATATTTCCAATATACATTAATTACTTGGTTATTACTTTGCCACAGAGAGTGCAATGGCTGTGTGGATAAAGCACTAGCCTCCTGTTTAAGGGTCACTGGTTTGCACCTGGGCACCCTCAGTTCCCCCAACTGTGAATTTCTACCCAACTTTACAATTTGAAAAATGAAGTTGATTCACTTCAATGCCAGCCACACAGCCTCTACTGAGTTGTTAGAACTATGGAACCCACTTTCACTTTGGTACATATTTGATAAAAGTTTACCTGTACATTATAAACTTAGTTCATTAAAAAGATATTAAAACTACTAATTTTAAGATATCATATATAATATAGAGAGAATTGCTTTCACTTCATGTTAGATTATTTGGAAAACATGATGACAGACAGAGTTTTTATTGCTAAAAAATATGGAACTCTAAGACTGTTTTTTAGAATTACATTTAAAGAACCACACCAGAGGTATTTTGTTTAGTATCTAATAACTATGAACCACTGCAATGCTTACATTAGCTCATATTTGCCCCATTTCAGTTCTTATCTAGAGCAAATGTGGTTAACAATTTAAAACATAAATAATTGACTTGTTTACCACATAACAACTTCGCTCATTAATTAACACATGGTTGGCTACAATATTATTCTTTATTAAGAAGTCAAAAACCATGTTGCTGTAACAAAAACATACTTGAAAATAAAGAGAGGCATTGTTTATCTGCCAAGTTTGGATGAACTGTTTGCCTGCCTGTACAGTCTTACAGCACTTACAAAAACTAGATTTTCAAGTTTGTACAACTAGCAAAGTGTGGTATAAAGGAATGTTCCTCTATGATATCCAGAATATGTTTATGGTTATATGGAAATATACAAGAAAGTACTTTATACAGTAACTTCCTTCTTCTAAAACACAGTTGCAACAAAGAAGCATTAACAATCCAACTTCCAAAAATAGAGCTAAATATATACATCTCTAACATATTTTAATACATAAAGCATCTTAAAGCCCATCATCATAAATTAGCCAACATAAAATTTTCACTGGCATGTTTTATACAGGATATAAATTATTGTACTGTATATTTTTAAAATTAATCCCCAATGAAATTGTTTGTTGATGTATTTATACTCTGTTGTTGCCATTGTCGAACTGAGCGTGAATCTGATGCAGTTGCCATGTTGTGCACAGAAATAGTACGCAACTCATCCCTGTCAGTCAAGACTTTCCGCAAAGTGCCTTGTCCAAGTCCCCCAGATTCGTACTGCATTTGACGTCCACCCACCAGGACTGTTGTTCCTGCATTTCCTTGCACTTGACTAACTGTCGGCAAGGTGACATCACGTGTTGTAATAGCAGTAGCAGTGGCAACACCAACAGAAGCTGAGACTTCACGAGCATTGGTTGTTTGGGTCTGCAGTGTAATTTCTCGCGTGCCAGGTTCAAGCTGAATATTAAATGGGCGAAGGTCACTAGAAACGGCCACTTGCTGGATGCTATTATTCGCAGGTTGACCAGTCACAACTTGAGCTGCCACCTGAGCAACCTGCGTTATTTGGTCTGTTGCGAGGTCAGTGTATCGTTCAATGTCTTCAGCTCGAACCTCAACTACCTGACCTTGAAGGGAAGCAAAGAAGTGCCCTACACCTTCTTCATTTCGTTCCCCCCCACCTGTGGTGTGAATAATGTAACGTGGTAAATCATCTGCTTCAATGATGTGGACAGGTCTTGACACCACCTCAACTGTTTCTCCGTCCCTCACGCCACCACGCACCAACTGCACTGGCCCATCTAAACTAGGATCTAGGCTCTGCTCATCATCAAGCTTCATGGTTCGAATGGTTCCTGTTGGACTTGGTGCCCCCTCCCCTAAGGTGTCAGCAGCCACAACAGTTGGAGGATTCACTTTCATAAAAGCTTCAACATTATCTGTGTGGCCATGTTGCTGGAGATGGGAAGCCAACATAGGCTTACGCATAAAGCCAGCACCACACAGCATACATTCATATGGTTTTTTATCAGAATGAATAAATTTATGAGCATTGCGGTTGTCCCTGGAATTGAAAGTCTTACCACATATATCACATTTAAATGGTTTCTCACCAGTATGAATTCGTAAGTGTTTTTTATAATGCTCTGGGTAGACAAAGCCTGCACTACATTGCCCACACTTATAAGGCCGCTCACCAGTGTGTATACTCATAACATGATAAACCAGTAGTCTTTTCCTCTTAAATGCTTTGTTACATTGTGTGCACTGATATCTCTTTTCTTGGAAATGTGTGGTCCTCTTATGAGACTGTAGGTTGCTCCTCTGGCTGAATGTAGACCCACAGATTTCACACTGGAAAGGCTTTTCACCAGTGTGAGTTCTCTCATGGTCTTCAACCTCACCCTTTCTTGCAAAGTGTTTATTGCATATTGAACAAGAAAAGTTTTTGACTCCTGAATGAGTAATGGCATGTAAATCTAGGCTTCTTTGAGTAGCAAAAGCCTTGCCACATGTTTCACAAATGAAATTTTTCTTCCCTTCATGCACATTTAGATGATCAGTTAAGTGATGTGATGTAAGGAAATTTTTGCCACAAGTTGTACACTGGTGTGGTCTGTGACGTACCCCATGTGTTTTCATATGGGTCTTGAGAATGTGTTTTGATGTAAACTTTTTGCAACACTGGCCACATCCATATGGACGATTTCCAGTGTGAACATTAAAGTGTTCTTGAAGTGCTGCTTCTGACCGGAATCTCTTTGGACACTGGGAACAGGCAAAAGTTTTGTTCATGTGATGTCTGAAGTGTTCTTTTAACTGTCGAGGAAGAGCATATCTACGTGGACACATTGTACAAGCAAACTGTTTCTCTCCCGTGGCAATATGATGTTCCAGATGACACACTAGTTCAGCTTTAGTTGTAAGTCTCTCTTGACAAACTTCACATTCATATAAGCGTTCAGGATGTGACTGAAAAGGATTGAAAATATTCTTTAGTTTCTTTTCTCATTAGCAAGGTCTATATTTTGAACCGGAAGCCAGCCACACTGAACAAAATTATTAAGTTGACCTTGGTTTAATTCTGAGCAAATGCTGTAGTTTGTCTCATTTACTGAATGAGATAAAGTACCATACTGTACTATACATAATTTTTCACAAATACAAGTATTTGTATCTACTGTACGGTAGTCTCATTTCCTACTTGATAAATGAAAGTTTCATACAGCCAGTGAAGAAGTGAAAAGAAAATATGTTAATAAAAGAAAGTCAACACCTACCTCTCTCATGTGTGTCTGCATGTCGGCAAACACGCTCAACTTAAGGGAACAGAAACGACATTTATATTTCTCAATTCCATCTTCCAGCAGGTGGTGGTCTGGGTTTAGGTCTTGAGAGTCATGTTCCACACCTAACTCATGACTGTTTAGAGTTGGTAAAGTCAGCCCACTAATCTGAAGAATATACATAAGATAAAGTTTTATTTTAACAGGAGGTGTTAATGTCATAAACAGAGGCTCAAGAATCTCTTCCTGCCAGTCTTATGGGTGACTGTTCCATGAAGATTACTGATGACTCTGTCAGATCTAGTTAATTCAAATGGCTAAACTGATCGCTGACAGCAAAAAAATATGTCTCATGTGCCAGTGTAACTACAATTTATATTTGTTCCATGACTAAGCTTGATAAAATTACATTAACACAATCTAGGCTACTATTCATGCAACTCTGAGCACTGGAAAAGATTTTAAATTTTTACAGCTTACAGTGAAGTACATTTGGATTTACTAAATATCTGAAGCATGGATGGGTCCGATGGAATTTCAAAATGAACACTGTGACTCCAGTTGTCTTGGTAGGGTTGCCAAAATCATTCGTCTGTTGTGTCAGTGTTGTCTAACAAAACCATAAAGGTACTTTTTGGAGCATGTGTATATGTCATTATTTCTTCACAAAACCCTTATCTTACCTGGACACATCCTTCACTATCCTCCAAGTCTAATCCATCCACCTCCATAACATCCTCAACAGCATCCACTACTGAAGAGTCCTCTAGAATTTCCTCTTCAACCATCAACATGTCAGTCCCTCCATCATCTTCTAAGCTTTCATCCAATCTTCCTCCAAGACCATCGTTGCTGTCCGATGAGCTGAGGAGCCCCTGCATGCAATGTTCATGGACCTAATGAGATTACCGACAGTTCGTATAAGCACATTATTTTACACAATAAAAATTTAACTCTTAATCTCTACCTAACAAGTCAGGTGTACATTCTAAAATTCTAAAATTCACACAATCTTCTCAATTACCTCACAGATTGTCTTACATTCCCTGTTCTAGGCACAGTATAGATTATGAACATTACTGGTATGAAGTTTTTACAGTGCGCAGTAATATACTGTACCATAGATTACCATTTTATATAAAAATAGCTATACAGTACAGGTACTCATTTTTACATCTGGCTTGTGGGTTCAGATCAGAGAACTGTATCTGTTATGCTTCTATTCTTTAGAGAATGTGAAGAAGTTATTAAAAGTTATTTGCAAATAGTAAAATATCACTCTGTTATAATCTGAAATAACATACTCATAAACTTGTCATTCTAGGGTGGTTCACTAACTGTTATGTCCCCCATCCTCTCATAAAACTTAAAAATACAAAAATTATATGAGACAAAGACTTGGACATATACAGTAAGTATCATGCCTTCATCCAAACCACATCTGCAGTATGTATGTTACAGCTCAAATAAATCAGCAGTGTTAAGCATTCCAAACCCATGAGACAATTGCTAAGTTGTGTTTAGAAACAATTTTTGAAATAAAATTATTCAGTAATCTCTAATTACCTCTCAAACTAAACATATCTTACATGACATTCTATTAAGTAAAAGATTACTTCTATACCTGATGCTTCAATGTCTCGACAGTATCACTGGCTGCCAAACCAGTAATGACTTCCACCGGTTCCTCTTGCTTCACCTCAAGTTTAACACTCGGAGGTCGACCTCGACCTCTGCCCCGACGACCTCTACGAGCGCGTCCCCCACCTCCTGCATTAAGAGAGAGAAAAAGAAAAAAATAACAGTTGTCAACTTGACAATAAACCATAGAGTAAAATACACACAACTTTACAAATTTCATTATAATAAAAAATGGAAACAAAAGCAGAGATGAAGTAAAAAGGACCTGTTTTACCTTTACAATAACCACACTTTTTACCTACCAACATACCTTATAGCTCAATAATTCTGTAGTAATAAGATTCAAAAACTTTCACACAAACTTGTAGTGTATATACTGCATGGACTTGAAGTAAATTTCTTATGTATTCAAATTTAAATTTTGTTTTATGCTTACAAATTATAAAGTAACAGATCTCTTTTAATGCAGAATAGTCCTTATAAAATTAACTGCTAAAGAAAATTAAAAAAACATCCTGTCAATTGCCTCATTCACATAGGCATACAAGCATGAACATACAGGAAAAGTAGTCCAGGTGGTTGGATTCAACAAGAAAGATGTTGCTCAGAGCCTCAGACTAACATTTCCATGACCTAAAATTATTGAGCTAACACAGGTGTACTGTATACAACCACACCAGTGGTCAAATAAAATTAATTTGTAAAAGAATTTATCTTCACAGGTTCACCTTCTAATCCTGTTTTCCTCCCTTTTTAATTTTTCTCTCACCGACACGATGCAATGGACCCAACAAAGTGAGGGAATGTGCCTGTTACCGCAAGCAGTAATGAGTAGGATGACCCATAAACAAATATTATGTTAGGTTATAAGTCATGTCATGTTTATTGGGTGTGCCTAACCATATATACTGTAGAGTATTGCGTTGGTGGAGATGGAGTGTGTTGGGTGATAGTAAGGGGAGCGTGTTTGCGTATAAACGCCTGACGCCGGGCACTGCCACTGTAGCTATCCCCATCATAGGGTGAGCACCTAACCCATTTCTCTCGAGACCTTCAACACGTAAGTTCAACCTGTTCTTATTTTTACACAGGTAGACTGTGTCCATTGCAACGGTTATCATTGTGACAACATGGAAATATGGCAAATTAAGTACTCATTATAAATGTTAAGTTTGGACGAATTACATAGCTATGATTGTTATGTGAATATATATTGAATTAAACATTTATGTATGATTGCCTATGTATGATTTATTATTTTAAATACTAAGAATGAACTGTATTCAACAGGTTTGACCGAATTATAACTTTGAGTGGAACGTGAATTGGTCTTATAATCCCATAATTGCTCTGAAGGCGATATCAGTGCCTCTCATTACCTGTTAGTGGTCTGCCACAATATATCACACCTATACAGTGCGTATATCTGTAAACTCAAATTGTAAGAAGAACGAGCAAGACTTACCTGACCCCATGTACACCTTAAAGTCCTTATCATCTTTGGCAAGAGTGGAAGCTTCAAGGTTGAGGGAATCCTCCTCTAGCACATTGTCAACATTCTCTCCCATGGAATCCTGTTTCACCAAGGCTAAAGTTCTCATGTATTTATTGGTCACCATCTGAAGAACAAAATTACAGTATACAGAATTCACATACTACTTGTGTATTTAGAGAAAACAATTACTGTACTAAAATAGAATAAGAATGGATTGATACTTTTGAAATTAATTATCTTAGCTTTAAAGGGATAAAAATATGACCCATATGATTGCTGCCTTCACTAGATGGCACCTTCACTGTGCCTGTATGACTGTACAGTACAATCAAACCAGCATGGCAGCAATTTTGTGATGCTCTGAGTCAAATGGATAGATGTAAACTAAATGACCAACTGGTTCAAACAAATTGTTAAAACCTTGAGAGTCTGTAGAGGATGTGTTGGTGGATGGATGATTGGGCCACGCGACACTTGGGCCGTGGGTCATGACTCCTGGACATTTGGGCCATGGGTCAAAGTAATCATAAGAAATACAAAATCGATTAAATTCAATACATTTTATTTTAACATAATAATCATATATGTGAAATATCACATTCAATATATTTTATTATAACATCTGGTTGTCATCCACGGGGATTGAGGCTTATCCCATGGAGTAGCTCTGGGATAGTTTTTCTACCTTCCTTCCTGTCCAGGCACAAGTTGTGAAGGCGCCCCTGGAGTTCATCACAAGCTTTCTTGACCTGCTCTGTTGGATGGATACCATGCTTTTCCTGCTGTAGTTTGGCGCCAATACGGGCGCTCTCTACTTAAAAACACTAAGTTTCCAGATTGTGGGATTAGCATGACCCACAAGACTGGTAATCTTATTATTCCACCCTCTGTAGATGTTGTTTGTTCTAGGTTGGTTGTCAAGGGTAATCGTGGAGTATTTTCCACTTCTCAGGTGGGAACATTGGTGGCATGAGTCAAAGGCATGATGACTCCAGCCTGATAACTGTTGTCCCATCTGTGACGTAACTGTCCAGAGACGTTTGTGGCATTGCGGTACTCGATGAGTGCTGCTGCCTCAGCTGGCATGTTGGAACGAAGATACTGCCTACCCTCTTTAACTTTCTGTGGAGGCAGGAAGGTAAAACAGGCAGAAGTCCTTATCAGCCTCATACTGAAGCTTAAGTACAAGTGCTTGAATCTGATACCATACAGACTCTGTCTGGCAGTATTTTGTACAGTATGGTAGTATTTTATAAATCTCTCTTTTTTCTTGGTGTAAATCTCCATCCTTATGCATAATAAAATCCCATGGCCCAAATCTCCACCTTACATACAGTTTGTGGCCCAAACATCCCGTGGCCTAATCATCCTACATTATTGTGCACTTTTCTTTAGTGGGAATGTAGGTACTGTATGTATATTATGTATGCTGGATTATATATTATGTATGTATATTATGTATGTGCTCCATTTGTATTATTTATTCAGCCTAGCTAGCAGCGTGTGGCAATGTTATTACCATATCCCACATGCTTAATTAATGTGCCTGGCGACGTATGGAAGCTGCTAATGTATCACTTGCCATACGTCGTCTATAGCAGTTGACCAGGAGCCTAGCTGAGGAGTGCTACCCCCCCTCTGTGTACATACTCTTATCCAGTAAACCGAACCTACAAAACTATACAGGTGTTTGTGTTCTCTCCTGTATATGGAACTTATTACCCAGAACACCTAACATGGCGCAGTGCGTAATCTTACTGGATAATTACGAGTGATTAGTGCAAGTTTGTGAAAGCCGGCTTATGGACTCCCGCCTTTGTGTCAACCCCGCGTCATCCCTCCTCGAAGAATTTCGCAACTTTGAGCAGTGTCAGTGATAGTGATTTTCTGTGAAGTGTTTAGTGCATTGTGTGTTTCGTGCCATTCATGTGTGACCTTGTTCGAACGGATTTCCAAGGTATACGGCATGTTCTGGGCATTTGTGGGGAGTAGAGTTCAGCGCACCCTTCTCTAACCGTTTACAGAGGGTGACTAAGCTCCTCGCTGTCTCCAACCCCCCCTCCCTCACAGCGCCGCCTCCACCCCCCCTCACAGCTGGGGCGAGACGCTTTGCCCGCCCGACACACACACACACACACATACATGTACTAACACTTGCTGACCGCGCGGCTTCATTATATATATTTTATATATATAACCTACTTATCTGTGTATTTAATTAATTTTTTTGTCTGAAATCTTGTTGATACGACGGGCTGACCGGTCAACACCGATTTAAGACACAGTACACAGATAAAGTAGTTATGTCTCATGCCTTACGTAGCCGTGGACCCAGCGCCTGGATGAGTCAAGCGGATGATAGTCCCCCAGAGATGGATGACCAGGCCGGCCACGACGCTCCAGCTCCCACAACATCGCGCAGCCCTTCACCTCAACATTCAGCGTTATCTCCAGAGATAATTGCTTTACTGAAGTTTATGAGAGATGAGAGACGCGAGGATGAAGCTCACAGACGTTTGGCGGATGAGCACAGAAGGCAAGCAGAGGCAGAACGAGACCACCAACGGAGAGTGGAAGACAGTGCACGGTTTGAAGCCTTGATATCTCGCCTCACTGTTAACCAAGCCCCTGGCTCTAACACTGCCTCGGTACTGACTGGTTCAGATACCTCATCCATGCTTCCTTCACGCCCCCCAGCCCCACCTAAAGCAGCAGCTCAAACACCGCCCATCTTGAAGCCTGATGTGAATTTCCAGACTTTTCGTGAATGGCGGCGACGGTGGGCTGATTATTCTACAATGGTGGATCTCCAGAGTTTGTCACAGCCAAAACAACTCATCCAGCTGCGTATGTGCCTGTCCTTGGAAGTTCAGCGTGTCTTAGAACATACGTTGCAGGTACCCCCAACCTCTTCGCTGTCTGTAGAGGAGGTACTGGACGTTCTACAATGGCACATCAAAGGACAGCAGAATGAAGCTCTGCGCAGGAGGGAATTGTTTAGCTGCAGACAGATGGAGGGTGAGTCTTTTGATGCCTTTTATGTACGTCTTAAGAGAGCCTCGGAAGAGGTAGATATATGTCTAGGCCACCACCAGCAGTGCGAGGAGACCCAGTTGAAGCAGGTGATCTTGATGGGTGTTAAGGACGAGGAACTTGTCCAACGCCTCACCTCCCTCGACTCTTCCTCTTCTCTCAAGGATGTGTTGACGATATGTCGCTCCTATGAGGCTGCCAGGTGTGCCACCTCTGCCATCCGAGCTCCCCCTACAGCTGTACGCGCTGTTTCCCGGTACAAGAAGGACAAGAAGTCTGCTCCTACGCCTTCGCCCACCACGTCCACGCCCGGTTCATTTTGTAACAACTGTGGTAAGCAGCACGGAACACAGGTGTGTCCAGCTGCTCAGTCTACCTGCAACAGTTGTGACCGTAAGGGCCACTGGTCACTCACAGTACGGTGCCCAGCCAAACGCGTCCAGTGCAATGTGTGCGGTCGTCTGGGCCACTATGACAAGTGTTGCCCTTCCAACAAACCCAAGGGACAGCGTCGGCGGAAGCTTCAGCGCCCTTCCACCAGAGAGGGCCGCCCACAGTCTTCCAATCAGAGGCACGACGACCCTGGACAACGCTCGAGCCATATTAGGAATGTGTGCTCCCCCCCGCGTCCCAGGACCAAAGTCCCCCAGTACATCAGTGTCATTGTGACCTACCGCAGTGTGTCATCCCGTCTCCAGATGTTGCCCGACACCGGCGCTGATGCTACAGTCATCGGTCCCCAGCATTTGCAATGCTTGGGGCTCTCTCCAAGTGATCTAGGACCGCCCCCCAAGGATCTCCGCTTTATGGCAGATGGTTCACAGATGACCCCGGCCCTGGGTTCACTCCAAGCACAAGTCACCTTTGGCAACAGGTCGTGTCAAGCCTGGATTGATGTGCATAACGGTGTCCCGACTCCTTTGCTGTCCTACAGACATTGTCAAGAGTTGGCCATCATCTCCCAGGACTTCCCCAAACCTATTCTTGAGGTAAAACACGCCAACAGGGTGCAAAAAGGGAGCAGCAACGACCCTGCTGCCGCCCTACCCCTGCCTCTTGCCAGTGACACCTCTCCTTCGGATGCTCGGAAGTACTTCCTGAAGGAATTCAGCGACGTTCTGGTGACCAAGTCCGCTCTAGAATCCAAGCCTCTCAAGAAGATGGCAGGTCCCCCCATGAGGATCCACCTGAGGGACGACGCGAAGCCCTTCGCTATTTACACCCCTCGACTGGTTCCCCTGGCCTTCCGCGAGGCGGTCAAAAACGAGCTGGACTCCATGGTCGCCCAAGAAATTATTGCACCAACCGGCGATGACCCGTCTCCATGGTGTCACCCTATGGTTGTCGTCGCAAAACCTAAAGGTGGTGTTCGGATCACCACTGACCTCTCCAAGCTCAACAGCCAGGTGTCTCGTCCTGCGCACCCTTCTCCCACGCCCTTTGCAGCTATACGCAGTGTGAACCCGAAGGCGCGCTTCTTCACGACGATGGACGCCCTGTGTGGATACTGGCAGATAGAGCTTGCCGAAGAAGACCGACCACTCACAACTTTCATCACCCCGCATGGACGTTACAGTTATTGCCGTGGCCCCATGGGATTCGCCGCTACAGGAGACGCTTTCTGTCTTCGAGGTGACATGGCTCTACAAGGTCTGGCGAACTGTGTGAAAGTGGTCGACGACATACTCGTGTACGACGAGGATTATATGGATCACCTCTGCCGTATCTACGAGGTACTCAACAGGTGCCGGAAGCACGGCATTACCCTAAATGCCGACAAGTTTGTTCTGGCCAGCTCTTCAGTTGACTTTTGTGGGTACACCCTCTCAGGGAATGGTATCGCAGCTGACCCGGAAAAGGTCCGCGCCATCACGGATTTTCCCACCCCTGCTAACCTGACCGACTTGAGGTCCTTCATCGGTCTCGTCAACCAGTTAGCAGAGTTTTCGTCGGACATCTCCGCAGCTGCTCAACCACTTCGCCCCCTGATGAGCCCCAAGAGGACATTCCTGTGGACCCCCGACCACGACAAGGCCTTCCAGCAAGTGAAACAGGCCCTGTCTCGTCCACCTGTCCTCGCCACGTTTGACC